AAGCTCCATCCTCGGAGTTCGAGGTCTGTGTGAGTTCTGATCTAAAAACCAAGGGCGCTCCATCAGTCCAAGGCGGAGTTTCAGGTCTGTAAGAGTTGTGATTTAAAAATGACGGGTGTCCTATCAGTCCAAAACTCCATCCTCGGAGTTCCAAGTCTGTAAGAGTTCTGATTTAAAAATCAGGGGCGCCCCATCAGTCAAAGGCTTCACCCGCGGAGTTCAATTTTCATGAGAGTTCTGATTTAAAAAACACGGCGCCCCATCAGTCCAAAGCTCCATCCTCGGAGTTCGAGGTCTGTGTGAGTTCTGGTTTAAAAATCAAGGGCGCTCCATCAGTCCAAGGCTCTGACGGGTGCCCCATCAGTCCCAGGCTCCATCCTCGGAGTTCCAAGTCTGTAAGAGTTCTGATTTAAAAATCAGGGGTGCCCTATCAGTCAAAGGCTCCACCCGGGGCGCCCCATCAGTCCAAAGCTCCATCCTCGGAGTTCGAGGTCTGTGTGAGTTCTGATTTAAAGTTCAAGGCTCCATCCTCGGAGTTTCAGGTCTGTAAGAGTTGTGAAATCCAATTTTCAGGGGGGAGGGGGGTCCGTCCTGCCAGCAGGGGATGAAAAGGTGCGCAACAGGGAATAATTATGGGAACTTCTGACCGCTTCGACGGGGGGCCGAGGCGAATTTTATGATTCCCTGCTTACTGCTGTTAAAGTCCGCCTTACTGATTGCTGTATCTCAGACTTGGCTTTTCCCTACTGCTTGCGAGCTGAACTTTGATTACTGCCTTGTTCAAATCCACGACCTTCAGAAGAGCTCACGGCCGCCGAGGTATTTTTGTTCACGTTCTAACTACCAGTATCGTGCCCTTGGCACTCCCTGTAGTCGCAGGCTACAATGGTGACCATCGAAGAGTTTGTGAAGTACCGAGGCCGTGCCATTGTCAATAGCCAAGCATGTGCATAGGGACTGAGGTATTTGGGAAGCCTGATCTTCATTCCAATCGCAGTTGGTTCCTTGTCAGACTTGCAAGATTCCGACGGGGTCGCGCTCCATCGAGCTTGCACCTTGAGATAGTTCAGCACAGCGACGACCAGCGCTTCGTGCCGTGCCGAATCGGGGTTCAGTACGGAGAACGTATGAAGTATGAAGATATATGAAGATGAAAGGTGGTGCTCTGATGCTTTGTCCAGGCCTCGGGCTCAACAATGCTCCAGATGAGATCACCAAGCGGCGAACGAGGACAGCATCTCAGCCGCACAACAACTGCCCGTTGCATCTTAGACTGTCAAACTAGTCGAGCGGATTAAGAAATCAACCATTGCGATGCCCTGGATTGAGGTTGTGCTTAGCCAGTTCCATTCGCTAGAGCTGGATCATGCGGAAATGGTTTTTCAGCTGGAGCAGCTTGGCCATCAGCAATTCAGCAGATGGGAAAGAGTCGAGAAAGTTTACAACAGATGCCAGAGCAAGCTGGTCAAGCCTTCATGGGAACAATGTTGAGAGAGTTTTGGTCTGCAGAATGCATGTCGAGTGAGATTGTTGTCAACAAGCAGACTAATATCAACATGGTATCCAGTTGCACTTATGGTTCAATTTCCTTCGCTTGTGCAGCCTGCGATCCAAGGAACGGCCAGGTCCTGCAAAACCAGGCAGCTTGACATAAGGAAACTTGAGATCCTCACATGACAGGAGACTTACCATCATGCATCCCAAAATGCACGAGCTGTGTGATCTGTTGCCAATCATGACCCTCGCCTTCAGTACATGTGTCCGTGCGTTTTCCTCGAGTGTCGCAGCCAAGAAGGCTTGTCCGCATCGATGTGCAGGTAGCGCACGCAGACCACAAGTCGGCTTTTCCAGCTAAGAGCTGCAAGCGCAACATCCCTTGAGCTTGGAAGGATCCAGAACAGGGCATTCGAACCCTCAACTCAACCGAAGATGCTCCAGCAAAAAAGATGGAAAGCCAGTCACAGCTATTTTCCTTACTCCAGCCACAGGAGCGATGCCAAGCATACTCAACCCAGCAATACGGAGAAGACGGCTCTGGTCACATCGCACAGAGGACAGCACAGAAGATCCCATGTCCTGTTCTTGAGCTACGAAGCTTTTCTTGTCGAAAGTCCTCAACTTCCATTCTTGATTTAACATGAAGGCTTCACCGAAGGGATCCCAACTTTGTCTTCAGAAAAACGAAGGTTTTGTCAGGACAGAACTCGCGGAAGCTGGTGGGTCGGTTTCTCTCGTGTTTCTCATGTCCTTCCTGTGCTGCCATGGAATGCGTTTTTTCACAGACATATTTCTTACCGAATATTTGAAAGCTGCTATATCAGGCGGACTGCATACCTCCATTGAAGAATTCGCGGGCAACAGATAGAGCTGCGAGCCCGTTCTTCGTCTACCGTGCGGTGGTTATGCAGCCTTGTTTCGAGAAACAGACACATATGGCATTGATGTTAACACATGCACCTTCTGCTCTCCTCCGTCACCAGCAAGAGCACAACATCGTCGAGACATGGTGATTTCGTGACATCCCGGTACCCCTTGTAATCCCTTGACATTTGCCTCTTGCATGTCCATCACCGCGCAACAGCGCAGCCCAGGCACCGGCGCGTGGCACTACGGGCTAGAAAAAGCTCAATTGATCCAGCGGTTCTTAGATTTTGAGCTGCCAATGTTGCCGAACGCTGAGTTCAAGCTAGCTCAACCCATTCCGCATGTTTCGAATATGGTGCTGTCCATTTTGGAGCAGGGTGGCCGCGTTTGCGCAGAGAGTTGAGCTGACAGAAAATAGGGTCAGCTTCCAGGGGAGCTATGCAGAAGACACCGGAGAACGACGTCTTCAGGTCTGACGATCGGTTTTGCTTTGGCCATTCTTTGGCCATTTCATAAGGTCGCAATTTTTTCTGTCGTAAAGTGTCCTTCAGACCTGGCTCCGTGGCAGCGAAGATTGCACGGAGGTGACGCAGTTCTCAATTTTTCGACACTTGTACCTTGACACGCTCTCGGCATCTGGAACACTTCTGGGGGCAGATGGTCGAAGGGACAGTGACCTGTGACTCTGAAGTCGTTCAAGCACCTTTCACACACCTCAAGTTTGCCAAGCACTGCTAGATGGCCTCCGAGCAGGTCTCGGCATGGGCTGAGCGCATTTGTTTCCGATGTCCAGAGCATCTCCGGGCGGTTCGATCATGACGTGTACCGTGGAGGAGCAACACCACTCCCCGTATTGGTAACGCGAGAATGAACCACAAGCACGGGCTTGTTTCACACAAGATTTGTCGTAGACGCTCTGCGTCAATGAGTTGGCAAAAGATGAGTTTGCAAAAAAACCTGAAGTTAGAGAAGTTTTCGTTGGGTTGAGAGTCGAGTGCGAATGGAAAGTTTCAGTTTGCAGAAAACAGGCATGTCCAGGCGACTCTCACATTGCTTCATATTGTTGTACTGTACGAGCCAGGTACTTTGGAGCCATGCGAACCCTGCTAAGATCGACCCTGAGCTTGGGCTTACGGCTACACGTACTGGAAGTCTTGTACAGCGGCTGTGCGAAGATGTACGACAAGTGGCAGAGACGTTTGACGAGAAGAGAAACTATGCGGCTCGAGCTAAGGGGGGGACACAGACCTGTTTTGTGTCAGTGCTTGGAATGACAACGGTCCGTGACCTCAGACTGCCTCGAAGCCGGGCCTGTTCAAGAGTTCATTAAAACATGGCCGTGCCGTTTCCAAGAATGTTGTTCGCATGTGCAGCGCTTTCCCTGCGCCTCATGCTTGACCCGGTCCCTTGCATCGCGCGGCACGGGCCGGCAGCTAGTCTGAGGTTACTCCACCCTCGTCCAGGACCCCAAGGTCGCCTACCGAACGGCCGCTTGCCTACAGGGTAGCTCCAGAGCTCATGTTCATCCTGATGCAGAATTTCCGTTTCCAACCCGGGCGAAGTGTCCAGGATTTCTTCCCCGGCCTCGGATGGATGATGGTCAGATCCCGAGCATCTCTTCAATTTGTCTGTAACCGAAACGTGGGGAACCGAGACCATGTGCGAACTGAACCGAACCATGCCACAAACCAAACCGGAACTGCAAGCACGGCATATGTTTGAGGGGTGCAAGCCTAAACCTGAAAGCCTGAACCTTCCAAAACCTCTTTCCGCTCTGTCGACCGGCCCCGATGCACTCTGTCCGAGCCTTCCCAAAGCCTTTTCCTCCCGTGGGGTTGGGGCGGTTTGGGTGAGGGTGACTTCCTCCCTTTTCTTCTCATTTGGGCCGTGGGATGCGTTCCGGCCGGTTGGGCTAACCTTGGCAGACTGCATGTCGTGGTGCTCGAGGTTCGTCCGCCCAGGGAAGGGACCGATGAGAAGCCAATGCCAACTGAAATTCGGCTGCATGCCTGTAGTTCCTGAGCCTGATCCCTAATCCTGCTCCTACAGGACCATGGACCATGGAACTTACATCCCTCAACAACAAACAACCGGGGGACCGAAAAGGCGAACCGAACCGCACGAACCGAACCGCCGCGAACCGAACACCGGTTCCAAGCAAATCATGCGAACCGAACCGAACCGCGAGTTCGCTGCGTCACTGGCAGAAGAAGACGGCCTGCCATGTCAGATCGAGATTCGTTGGCCTCCATTTTGTGAGGGATTGGCTCGGTGCTGGATCTGGTGGTTTGTGGTTTGCTGCAGGATCGCGATCTTTGGGGCGAGCTCCGCAACCGCTGGGCGGTGCGCAAATTTCCAAGAACTCTGGGAGCATGTCTGCGTCTCATTCCGTGCTTGCCGCAGCAAGTCGCAGCAATCTTTTTTCAAGCCCGTGTCCTCACATTGATAGGCTTGTTGTGAACGATTGCGAACTTGGTTGGCTGCACCGTGCAGCTCAAGCACAAGCCAGCGGCCTCGTTGGCAGAGTACCGAGTGCCGAAGAAGTGAAAGCCAGAAGCAGTTCGACAGCAAGGTCAAGGGTCAATGTGCAAGGCGGTAACCCTCATGGAGCCATGCGGCGAACTGCTGCGGCTTTGGTCCATGTGGCCCCAGTCATTGTGTGGAGCAGGCCCGCGGCGCAGGTTTTTTTAGTACGGTTCTTGGTAGATCTTGGTTGTGCTTGCCGTGCATTTCTCTTGGAGTAAGGCCTACATGTTCGGACGCATGCATGAAGAATCTAAGCTCATGTTGCAGCACTGGTTCTGGCAAGCCCATCCGATGGGACTTTGATCTTCGAGGCTCTTCGGGCTGCAAAGACCTGTATCAACAAGAAGTCGCGACGAACACAGGCTTCAGATGATCACCTGAGCACTGCAAATTCGGCCTAAGCCATGGAGCTACGGTCCGAGAATCCGCAAGCCTCCAGCAATTCCCAGTGCAATGAAAGTCTGGAAGTGGCATACATTTTTCGGTAGTCAACCACGTGTGCCCCCTGACGAGGATCGAGAAAGACCAATCCGTCTTCTGTCAAGACTTCACGAGCTTCCACCGCCTCAGGCCTCCGTTGGCCGTCTTGTGATCTTGTTTGATCTATCTAAATGTGAAGAATTGATGCACGGCTGTAGAGCCGGACGAGGCTGGCTGATTTCCGCTCAACCCCACCACTGCCCGTGTTCTCTCACATTCCTGGGATCTGTCAGGGCTACGGCAAGCCCAGAGAGTGAGAAGAGGAAGCTGTCACAGCGCCAGACACCTGGAGTAGACTTTGTCAGCAGCGGGACAATCAGTTCAAGCTTGAACACTGGTAAGCTTCTTAGCAGAAGTCAACTGTTGGTTCCCAGCTTTCCATTTCCAAGTGCCTTGCCTGCTGCCGCGCTGTCTGCACGGCACTGTACTGGCTGCAATCGTTTTGGAACACGTGGCGGGATAATGATGTGGTTCATGCTGTGCTGATAGCGATCCTTCTGGAGCGTGGTTTGATATTGCAGTCATGCTTTGCACTGCAAGAGAGGTTCAGAGGCTCTCGATGCACCCCAACAACGATTTTCGACAACTCTCCACCCGTGTCATGGCCCACCGGCAATCACGACAGTTGGAGGAAATTGCCGTGGCAAACCTGCGAACATGCTTGAACGTTTGCTGGCCGGAGCAGCAGATCGCAGCGCGATGCACATTCGCCTATATTCGCCTGCAGTAAGGCTTGATAAAGCACACGGACTTTGTGTACCGCTGCTTAAGCCACGGTCAGCTGGAAGACTTCTACTCCCTCGGCAAGGAGAGGTGCACTCTTGACCTCGTCTCGGTAGGGTTGTTGTGACAACCCTGGCCTAATGCGTGAGTGGGAAGGAGCTAGGTTTCGGCTCCTTTGGCACCATTTACTTGGCTCAGCATAAGGCAGGGGCCACAGCGATCGCTTTCACCAGCGACCTGACACATGTTTCCAGATGCTGGGGCCCGGCTTTGCTTTTGCAGCACAGACCTCAGAGTTCCGCTTGCTCCCAGTGCGAAAGCAAACACTCAGTCTGCAGTAGTGAAGGTCAAGAAGATCCGCAAGTCTGAGAATGATGAAAAGTTGTACAGATCTCAGGCATCCTATCTTTAAGACTCTGCGGAAGTATGCATCACTGCAGGCAAGAGCTTCTCATGAACGAGATTCATGCCTTGATGGACCTAGACCATCCCAATGTGGCCACTGGGACAAGAAAGGGGTGGTATACAGTCCGAATCATTGCGCTCGTTGCTTCAGTTGATGCTGAAAGCGCATGATTTGCTGTTTTCTTCCGGTGTTTGCCACAGAGCCGGTTGAGATTTTCTGGCCTTCTCCGGCTGCACGCTGTTGCCGAACGAGGTCAAGCTGCTCAGGTACTTCGATGAGGGCAGCTACATGTACCTCGTTTTCGAACTTTGTCAAGGCAAGGTTGGAAACACGGAGCCGAAACTGCTAATGAGACAGCTGTGTATGCCACGACACGAACTCAACCAAAGGTCCAGATCTGCAAACACGGCTTGAGAACGAGGGCCGGGTCGAGGAGAAGGAGGCTAGCACATTCCCGTACGTAGCACGGACTACTGGAAGATGGCCCCAGGCGGCAAACACCATGCGGCAAATGCTGGCCGCTCTAAAATGCTGCCACGAGCACTACATTGGGCACTTTGATGTGAAGCCGGAGACGCCGTGTTTGCATTTGCGTTTCACTCTAGGCTCTAGTCGTACAAATGCTTATAAATGCTTTATGCTTTAGGAGGCTGGGTTTTTTTGTTGACCGTTGCTTTGGCCCGAATGCGCCCCTTCAGCTTTACTCCCACGGCGCGACCGAAGCAAAGATAATGTGTCCCAAGCGGCCCTTGCATTCTATTGCCCGTTTATGATACTGCCGGCAGTAGCCCCGACATATGCTGTTCACTTGGCATGGGCTCCTGAGACTCCTGCCTTGGTTCACTGTGCTAAGGAATTTCATCTACCGCAGCACCGCACGAGGCTCAAATGACGGACACGGGCTGGACGCATTTAGGCTCGCTAATCACAGCTCGTGTAGATACCTGTAGCCTGCTGGGGACCAAGGATATGACTAGGCTGAAGATGATCGACCTGGGCCTCGCGACCCGGTTCAAACGAAGCTACTTGTCATGTTTGGACCGAGGCTGAGCGTCTTTGTCGGACATGCAACTCCGTTTCTACGAATGAGATGTTTCTCCCTGTTTGTCTTGACACAGCAAAAAAGCAGTCACTAGTGCAAGTGTACAGGTTGTGAAAGTCGCCCCCTGAAGTGCCGTTGGATTGGTGATGGTGACCATGGATCCTGAGATAGAGTCTGATTAGAGCTACAGGTGTCCAGCATTTCCATGAGCTTGAATACGAGGTCGGAAGGAGATCCGAGGAACAAGCGCATACATGGCGCCAGAGATGTGGGACCCCTGGATGGACAAAGTCGGATTTCTTGAGATGCCAGCTCAGCTGCACGTTTGGACTGGGAGATGCTAGATGAGGATAAAGACGACATACACGGACAGATGCTCAATGTAAAGAAGCTGTTGTTCGGCAGTTACTTCAGGATGGCTTCTTCGGACCAGAAGCTGACAGCTGGGGCTGCGGTGCCGTTTTCTTCAACCTGCTCACAGGCATGTAGATTGGGATCTGTTCCTGGTGTTGTCAACTTCGAACTGTCGGGAAGCAAGGTTCTTGCAGGTCTACGAGTTTTCCATGCCTTGCAAAGTGGGCTCACTAGCTGGCTCGCACTGGTCTCGCAAATGCCGACACTAGCGCACGTTCAACCAGCTGCGTGCCCCACCGCTTTCCACTCACAGTTTCTGAGGCAAGTCCTTCTTTCCGCCAACGATGGGGGATGATGACATAAAGATCCTCGCAAAAGACCGGAAGTGGGTGCGGAACAGGCGAGCTGCTCATAGGAATTCGGAACGAGAAGAGCCAGGACTTGTCCTCAACACTCACAGGCATAGCATGCATATGCTGTTTGCATGTATTTGTTTTAATTATCGCTGACCGTGCAAAGGCCGCTGCTTCTGCATGCCTTCGGAAAGGAAACGAGACAGGCGGACACAAACATAGCACAGATACGAAAGCAAAGAGAGGAGAGACAGTGGGACGTTTGCGAATGCTTGCAGCACACTCGAAAGCCACGCGCGTATGTGACTTGTGGCCCGTCACAGAAGCTGTGGGCAGCTTCTTTTGCCCGCCCGCCCTCCGCTTTTTCTGGTGCGCCCATGTTGCGCGAAGATAAGGAGGGATGTGACATGCTGCTTGGGCCTGCTGGGCCCTTGCAGTCTGTGTGCCTGCGCTGCAAAAAGTCACTGCGCGTGTGGACTTAGAGAGAGAGAGAGAGAGAGAGAGAGAGATGTACTGCGTAGACCCTGGGGACCAGGGACGACGGATCGCCGTCGAGGCTCTGGATGGCGGTTAGCCAGCCACCAGAACGCCGCAAACGAGCCCAATTGGCGGCGAAAGCCAAGAGGTTGATTCTCGAGATGGACGGGAACAACCAACAGCTGGAAGTCGAATGGTCGTCGGGCTCGGTGTGGTACCGGCAACGCCGAGTGGCCTCTGCAGGGGGCAGCAAGCCAGAGGGGGCAGAAGAAGCTGGACCCGGGTGGATCAACCTGCGCGAGGTGGCTCGGCAACTTGGCAGCACCGAGGAGGAGGTGAAGCGCACATGGCGGCCGCTGGCCGCGCACCTCCGTTGACTAGCTCCTGAGCACGACCTGTTTCACCAACCACTACGGGGACTACCTGAAGGTA